GAATTTACCTTACCAGGGAGGCTTAGAAGTGTGATCTCCTATAGTTGGAACACACCCTCCGGTCCCCCTTTTTAAACAGGGGGACCACCACCCCAGTCTGCCAATCCAGGGGGACTGCCCCCGATGTCAATGCGATATTGCAGAGTCACGTAAGCCAACACAACCCTAGTTGTGAGTTGAAAAGCAATTTGACTAAAATTGATTTGATTAAAAATCCCTTTAAATAGGCTGATTATCATTCGTTTGTGTTCTATATTGAAAAATAAAATAAAATAAATAAGAATGACTAACTTTTTAGTTAAAATGATAACATGCAGGACTAAAACTAAAGTAGGCTACGCTGTAATAAATAAGGGGAGGGACTTGTTCCTTCAGGCTCCAACTTTATCATCCCAGCTTCCTTTTTTTTTTTTTCAGGGCTCTTTTTTTAAAGCCTTGAGGAAGCACAGAACTTGGATGGCTGGATTTAACAATGTGAAATAACAGTTTTATGAAACTGTTATTGTTGTTGGATTAAATCTTTTTTTTTTTTCCATTCAAGTTTCCTCTTTGGACCAGAACAGCAGACCATGGCAGAAGTTCTGACTAAGCGCAAACTTTACGCGGCGGTGCTGGTTCTGACGCTTCTCCTGTGCGCACAAAGCGGCCGGGGCTTCTCGGTGGCCGGGCAGCAGGAGAGCACCTGCGAGGACAACGGCAGCCTTTACTACGTCGGGGAATGGTATTTCCTAGACTCGGACCACTGCACCCAGTGCGAGTGCACCGCCGAGGGCTCCGTCTGCGCGCGCACCGAGTGCACGTCTCTCCCGGCCGCCTGCATCCATGTCAGCCACTACCCCACCGACTGCTGCCCCAGGTGCGAGAAGATCGGCTGCGAGTACCGGGGGGTGGTGTACGAGCTGGGGCAGAATTTCCAGGTAAACCTGAGAACCACCACGGTTCCCAATTTGGATCAGCGTGCCTCCTTAAAAGTTCCCAGTAATATCTCAGCAAGTGCTGTGTAAAAATGAAGATGCTTTTCAATTTTGCACACAATCAAATCAAACATAAAACAGGTAATCATATCAGATGGGGCAGTTTTACTCCAGTAGTTTCCCCCCATCATCATTAATATGATCATTAAGGTTATTGTTTGACCTAAATGTTGGCATCCAGTTCACACATTTTATTATACTTCAGATTATTTTTGTCTGGTCTTTATCACTTTGCACCTTTAAGTCACAATAACTATACAGAAATGTGTAAATATCTATAACAAATCAATGCAGGACCACAAAATTTACCTTTACACACTGAATGATTATTATAAAGCACAGTTTTAAATAACAGGAGCACAAGTTTCCTTCTTCTTTTGCATTTAAAATATAAACATACACAATAATGTCATGATTAGACCACACAGTCCCTCCCAGTGGTTCCCAGAAATGCTCGGGACCCCTTTGTGGTACACGTGACATAAAGTGAGGGTCCTCAGAGGATTTTCAGGCATTAAATTAAATGGAAAAAAAAAAGCTAATATTTTCTTCATGATTAGTGCAATTTTTAAAATTAATAATCATAAATGAATACAGTTAGTATTGTAGTTATTAGGTGTGTTTATGTTATTATTCCCTTGTTCAACAGAGTTATTAGTAAAGTTTGCATATGTAAACAAGTAATATTCGAGGTCTTGAACATCTGTTTTTGTGGGTTGGAAGCAAAAACGTTTGAAAACCACTGCTCTAAACTGCTTTGTGTGTTTCAATCAAATTAGGACGAAATTTGTGCATTTTTAAACTTTCCAATATCTGAGAGCAATAGAAAAAATAAGGTAAATGGCGCCCCCTATTGACAAGACATGAGAATGAAGGGATGGGAAGGCTTGTGTTTGTTTTACACCCTTCTCCCCCCCCTTTTCAGTAAAGAGTTTTGTGTCACGCTGTGTCTTCCAGCCGTCAGAGTGTGAGCAGTGCACCTGTGACAGTGACGGCATCGCTCGGTGTCTGGTTGCAGATTGTGCCCCTCCACCGTGTGTCAATCCTGTGTACCAAACTGGAAAGTGCTGTCCTGAATGCAAAGATGGTACGCTTAGGATAAACCTTAATAAAATAAAATAAAATAAAATGAAAAAAAAGAAAAAAAGCTCAGCTTTGTCTGTTAACGTCCCTCTTCTCCATTGATTTTTTTTTCTCCTCCAGGTCCCAACTGTTACGCCGATGAGTCGCGCAGTCAGGTGATTCCTGCAGGAGAGCCCGTTTGGGTCGACTCCTGCACCAAGTGTCGCTGTCACGACGGCCAAGACGCCGGCTACTGGGAGGGAAACCGCCTCGCCTCCTGTTCTCGCCTCAAAAACTGCACACCTGAGCTGCCGCCCAGCCACAAAGCCTGACTTTCAACGGGAGCTGCAGTTACTTTCAAATCCATATTGAGCGGTGGATGATGAGCTGCACGGGCCTCTTAGACTGCACCACTGAAAAATGTCCCTTGGCTCACTCCTGGAGCTGGCACAGCTGATCATTTAATGCAACAAGTTCTTCATCAACATATAAACACATGTAAAGACGAACAGAACTAAACCTAATTTTCAAATCCTCTACAGAAAAGTTCAGATTAAATTAAAGGTCTAGTTTTTCTTGGGGGGAAAAAGCACCTGCTGTCTATAGTGTTTTAGATGAAGATCATTTTATGTTGAGAAATGGTGTTATAACTTAAAATTAAGGTTTTATATAAATAAATAATAATAACTAATTTAAACGCGCTTAGCAAAAATCTCACAGTTAACTTTTGCTACTCTGCATGGATATTGCAATATTTTACACACTCCCATGTCATCTGTTAGTGCCTGGAGCTTGAGTTGTAAACGACTGTCTGCTACAAAAGTTTAGTTCAGTATCTGTGAAACTCACCAAGGCGTAAATTAAAGTCATTTAGCTGTGGCAGCCATCTTTTTCCAAAAGCTAATCAGCTGTCGATGTGCAACCAACGATGACTTTCTAAACGCTTCATTAAAATGAGAAATTCTTCTAATGGTAAAGATGAATAAAAACAAACAAAAAAAATGTTAAAACATTATTATAGCTTTGGCTGCGGGTGACAATTGTAACAGTGGAGCAGGAGTCTGCAACCTTTACAATCAAAAAAGCAATTTCTGCCTCTTTCTCTCTAAAAAATGTGTCTAAACTGTGATTGTCAACTGGTGGCCCATGGGCCACTTTGAGTCTGTCAAGGGGGCCTATTTTAGCCTGTGAGAGTGACATTATAAAAGTGAAGATATATAGTGAAATTGAACATTTTTACAATTAAGGACAAAAATAAAAAACAGTCACAAGAAAAAAATTGTTATACCAACTTTAATAAAAATCTATAACAGTGACCTATGCAGGCATGGTTTTGTTTTATTCTAATCCTTACTATTATCTATCACCATATTTATTCTCAATAACTTAAATGTAAAGACATTCAAAAATATATTTTAAAAAATCCTGTGGGTTTTAAAAGAAAGATCATGCTGTAAGGCTGAAAGTTGGATTATTGAATTGACCAACAAACTACCGGTACTAGCCTGACCTGATCAACCTTTTTAACTCCTTGTATTACTGCACTGGTATTGATCATATATTTGCAAACAGATGGACAGGAAAACTGTTAAAGCTATCCTTTTCTGCTAAACTTAAAAAAAAAAAAAAAAAAAAAAAAAAAACAATCTCACGTTGGTCAAAGCTCCAAAGAGCTGCTGCAGAGAAACCAAAGAGTCACATGTGGCCCCAGAGCCACAGTTTGCAGACCCCTGGTATGGAGGAAAGACAAAAAATAAAAATAAAATAAAACAAATTAAAAAACGACCTTGCTCCAGGCATTTTGTATCTACTTTTTTAAAAACATTGATTAGCTGTTGAGTTTTAGACAGAGGAAGTAGTCGTGGGTGTTAATGGGAGTTCTGTATTTGAATGCAGGGTTTTGTCTAATGGGATGTTATTTAGGCTTGCTCTCTGTGGAGCAGGAAAAAAAACTATTCTCAGCTCAATACTTTATTGATGTTTCACTGTCAGCAACGTGCAATCTTTCACAGAAGCCTCCACTGATATTAGTTCTTCTGCTTATACAACTCGCATAGCTTCAAGTTTACAGTTACACTATCAGTGACTCGTTTTCAGAATCAATATTTACAATCTAATGAACAGTCATTTTTTTATAGGTCTATGTGCAGCAAATTGGCATAATGATCACTCAAACTGTTAAACTATTTAATTGTTTTTCATCTTCAATAAGATTTTGTTTCTAATTTATGTGATAAATATGAAACAAGAACAAGCTACGATGCCTCCAAGCTGATTTTAATCAGGAAATTATTTAATCAGATGATTCAAAATTGATAAATATATCCAACCTTCACGGTTGCTCTTCCAAAAAAGTGAACAAGTACCCTATAGTTTTTCAGATATGTTCTTAAGGAGTCAATGTGAGTAACACTCTGATGATACCAAATTGTGTCTGTGTGAAATATATACTGGTTTTGCAAAACCATGAAAAAATTTCAAATTAAAGTTCTTTTCCAACCCTTGAAATTTCTGTTTTTGTTGTAAAAATGTGTTTGTGCCACACACTAAAAAATATTGAAACAATTAAATGAGGTCTTTGTTGGTTGTGATGGTACTGTATGTGGATGTTTCCTTGAGCACTTCGTGTTCCTTGAGATTACCTGTGAGTTTTTGCTGCCACGTCGACCTTTTTGTTTTAATAAATATCCTTTTGTTTCACTTTGGATCTTCGCCTGTGCCCTGGGTCAATCCTGTGTCACAACCTCACAGGTACCAGTTGGAGGCATGTACATTTACTTTGTTCCAGGACTTAAGTAATTTTTTACTGAGGATCTGTATTTTACTAAGTATTGCTTTTTAAATCCTAACTTTTACATTTGTTTTGTTTTATTCAAAACACAGAAATCTGCAGAGTCTTGTCAGATACATTTAGTTCATTACTTTAAATTTAAACACCTAATTACAGGCTGCAAATTTAAATATGAGAAGAATTTTATGAAAGAAGTTGATAAACGAAGGGTTGAATTTACTTAAAGTTAACAGGATCCACTATACTAATTTGAGTAAATGTAAAGCAGTTTATTAATTTTCTTAAAAAGAAAAAAAAAGGTGTAAATTGCTGTTTACTCAATCTGGTTTAGTAGAAGTGTCTAGGTTAGGTAAATTCAACACTTCAGTTTTTAGAGTGTGTGTAAAAGTCCTTACATTTTCTTCTTCTTCTTCTTCTTATTATTAAAATGTGTGCATACATAGTTTTATGACTTTTACTTAAGCATACTTTTTAGTGAAAAATATTTTTACCAAAGTCCTTTTACGTTACGGTATTTTTACTTTTACTTATTTTTTTACAAGTACTTTATCCTGTCAACCTATCATTCTGAGTTTTTAACTTCAGCAGTCATAATTTTTGAAACTAACTAGTATTTAGTTATTGAACTATAACCATTAACTTTTTTCCCCCCAAAACTATGCATCATATAAAAGGTAACTTGACTGGCTGAACAGTTGTGGTCTCAGAATGAAGCTCAGAGCTGATTGGCCAATTCTAGTCGATCAATCATGTGTACCACAAACAGGTGGGACACGAGAGGCTTGCCACACATTTTGGGCTCTGGAAAGTCTATAGATAAACCCATTTGATCAAAAGAGGTGTCAATCAAAAGAAAACAACCAATCAAACTGTTTGAACAGCCTATTTTGCAAATTCAAAGTCCCTGGTGCTATATAGAGGAAGTAACCACCAATTGGGAATATACCGTGGGCGGTACATTTTACACAGCTGCTGGTACCAGGAGGCAGAAGATCATATCGTCACCATTCAATACATAAATGCATAAAGAAAAATAATTCAGATTCCATGGAAGAATGCATGCTCGTCCTCTTGCATGAGCTGTTATCACTCAGGACATGAGTTGGAATGACTCTCAGCCACTACCATGCCAATATCTAACTCTATATCTGTAAAATTAATTAAATTTTGGTGGCCATCTTGAATGAGTTCAAATGTTAATCCATGTAGAAGTACATCCAAAGATTACTTTCTTTCAAAAACTCTCAACTTCGATGGTGGGTGATAAAAAGTTGAAACCTGACCCCGTTTCTTTAACTGTTAGTGTTGTGAATGATCACAGTAAAAAACACCATCATACAATCTTGAACATCAGATTTATTAATTGTATAGAAAAAGTAGGTTTGATATGACATAATGCATTCTATATAAGATATAACATTTTCAACATTCAATGTACAAAAGAAAAGCCATAAGTACAGTAAAAGTTTTAAAAATACCTGCAGGCCAGAAGATCCTGTCGGCGTCAGCAGCAGATGAAGCAAAAAGTGCATCTGAAGATGCGTTTCAAACCACTTTCACCCACCTCAGGGGCGCTCAGCAGCAGGAAACCGCTGCGACGGTTCAACTGAGAGCCGTCAAGCACCCCTCGTGGCTGTTTGGTTCTCAAGCAGAGGCCACATTTCAAATGCATGTCTTCGCTACACATGCCTGCTGCTGATCTCGAGGCCATAGATTACTGTTTGTACACGCCGAGGCCATTTCTTCCCAGTTTCATCCTTCGCTCCGTTCAACACTGTAAATAATTTCATGTAATGCATCCGACGAGCCTTGGTGAAGCCGGAGCGGATCTCGTTTCAACGAGACACTTCAACAATTTTATAGTTTAAAGTTTGCTCGTGTCGTTGGGGGTGGGGAGGGGGGGTAGCCAATTTAAATGATTTAACACTTGACACGCCCATTCAGGTGAAGCACTTCAACAGCAAGTATTTATGGAGATAGTCCAGTCAACTTTGAAGTGATGTCCTAACCATCTTTACGATAAGTACCAAATTTCGCTTTAAAATTAACTGAACTATCCCTTTAACTTTGTGTCAAATGCTTCTTCCTGCTGTGGGTAAAGCACAGTTATCTGATTTGTTTTCATTGAAAATGGGAAATTTTAGTACCTTTCTCCATTAACGTTTCAGTATACATGTATTTATATAATATTTTGATAATTTTCAATTAAAATAAGACACATTTTGTGATGCAGTTACACAGATAAATATTTAAACTGCCCATTGCACTTGATTATGATAATACACTTTACAGCACTGCCTTTAAAACCTCTACACTACACCACTGAAGTGCCCCTCCGAAACAGTGAGAATTATAACTGCTGTACTGTTTCCTAATAAGTGATATTCAACAGGTGCACTGAAAACAATAAACTGACTGCATTGCAAACTGAAATGAACTGCCCTTTTAGAAGCGCAACATGCAGCGGATGTGAACTGATCTGTAACGCTGCACAGCTGTAAACAGTTTGAAGAAGAAAACGCACCGACTGCTCGCAGGCTGCCTTCGTGGGACGCAGAAAAAAAAAAAGCACCAGAGGAGGACGGCCAAAACAGGATGGGAAAACACAGACAAAGCGGGAGGTCGTAAAACAAGAAGCACGTAGAGGATGAGAGGAGTGGGGGAGACAGAGGGCTGCGCTGAAAAGCAGAGATTAGACAAAATAAAGATACAGAGATTCAAAGACACAATGAGAGACCCTGTCGATATCTATTGAAAGATGAGGCTCTCTTGTTCGGCACAGCTGTGCCTGAAGTGGGTCCACAACAAAGGGCGACAGTGAGCCATTGACACACACAGCCAGGACTGGCAGGGTAAGAAAGGAAAGGCAGAGAAAAGGGAGAAGGTGCGCGCTCCTGATAGAAAGAGGAGCAATCAAACCTTCGGCCAGGGTTCAGAAAACGAGCCAAACAGCCTGAAACAGTCCCCCCACCCCCACCCTCTCCTCAAGGCCGACCAGCACAGAGAAACAACTTTCACTTAAAAAAAACCAAACAGTTTAAAAAAATACAGTCAAGCCTCCGTTCGCTTTCAGGTGTTAAGACAGGTGGAAAAAAAAACAGAAACAAACACTTTAATTTCTGTTTGTTTCCACCCGACGACACATTTTCTCCAGGAATGACCTTTTTAAATTAGCACAGTTAACATGTCAAGGCAACAGTTTGGGGTGTAACCAACACGAAAGGCAAAAAAAACAAAAATAAAAATACAGAGGAAACAGAGCAACGTCTTCAAGACAAAGCTGCCCAAGGCTTCGATGTGTCGACGGAGGAACTTAAGAGATGATGTAAAGTTTTCAAGCAAACAGAAAAAAGGAAATCTTTGCAAGAAAAGTGGCTAATTTAGCACATAATCAAATCTGTGGTGTGATAAAGCAGTATACAATACAGGAATGAGAGCTCATGATTAAATTAAGAGACGCAAAAAGGACATCATGCGTTTCTGGTTCTGCCTTTTCTCCAGTCTTATAATTAATAATTCCCACTTTGTCATTTTTCCTCCTTGTAAATATGATCATCTATTAATGACTGAACAGAAAATAAGAGGGAAAAAAGTGGCATATTAATACTATCGGCACAGTTTAAAATGGATTGTGATATTAGAAAAAAAGAGCACGTTTATGTTGTAGGCCTGAAAAAATGACCAAAAGAATCGTTCTTTTTCTTTTTTTCTTGCCTGTATAAAAGTTTACAAGTCATCTTTCAGATCCAAAATGCCTTTTTGACGGTAAAAGATATTCTGACAAATCAGTTTCGATTGTTTCTGCCTCTTGTGTGTAAGATACTATACAAAAATGTGCAAAATAAGATAAATGCCCAGTGTTGAACAACGGTCAAACTAATCTGAACCCCTTAAAGACTGGGTTACGCTATAAAAACTACTTGAGACGGAGTTAAAATACGGAAACAGAATCTCTTTGAGTTTCATGACTGAGCTGTCAGCAAATATCAGGACTCCTGCTTTTAGATTTCCATTATATTATAAAACTCCCTCCCAAGACGCTCCCACCTGCCTGCAGACAAAGAACTGTTCAACTTTTCTCTTGTTGCAAAACTTTCAAGTAGTCCATTTCTGTTTTTAAAATGTTAGTTTTAAACGTGTAAAAAAAAAAGCTGGAAAAAGGAAAAGAGTTTTCTCTGATGTTTCATCAGTGTGTTCATGAGTCTTCTGCGGTAGAAGCAGGCACAATACACATTCATTGATTTATAGCAGAGGAGTCTGAGTTAATGAGATCCACACCAGTAACGCCGAGCAGGAAATGCCAACATGTCTGTTAACGCCATGTGTCACGATAAGCTGCTGTCTCTGAAAGATTAAAAAAAAAAAAACTACAAAAACATCTCTGTGTATCATCACTGCTTGTGTAAGTTTCCTCCTCCCCCCACTGTAGATGCTCAGGTTTTTACATGCTGTGAAGGCCTTTGTAAAGTTTATCGAACCGGGTTGCTACTTTTTCGGATGCTTAATTTCCCAAACAGCATCTGCGTCATTTTGAAGTCATTTATCCTTGTAAACAGTTTTTTCCCCCACCATCCCCCCCCCGTTTGAAATGAAAAAGAAACCACACTGTGCGCTCTGACGCACAACTAGCAGAAGTCATAAATTATAATAACGTGTTGTGTTTTTCATCCTTCGACTCGTGTCGCCGGACGGCCTCCAGGTTACAAAGAATTGTCACAGAAACGGCTCCAAGTTTGACGGCGACGTCCTTGCGAGCTACTGATATTCCACCTTGTTGGTCCTCGAGTTATTCATAGTCAACCGAGTGGTGCCGGCGCAGCAGGGGCGATGGCTGCCACCGGCTCCTCAAAGAGGCAGTAAGTGGCTAAAGCCTGAGCCCTAAAGGAGCAAAATATCAAGCTGGAATCTTAAAAAAAACAAAAAAAACAAACGGAGAGTAAAAACAGAGGGGAGGAGGAGACGCTGCGACAGACTTGTGTGTCCTCTCAGCTCGCGTCGCACGCCTCTCTAGATGTCCCCGTCCCTCCATCCGTCCGTGTGCACCACCCTCCTCAGCTTCACCTCCTCGCCCTACCCTTTGATGGGTCGAGGAGGCGGCTTGCCAATCTCCACGGAGATGTTCGTGTACAGAGGGTACTTCTTTACTTCAACCAGTTTGTAGGTCAGGGAGCTGATGCCGTCCTTCTTCATCGTGTTCTTTGTGTTCTGGATTTTGTTGAATCTAGGAGAGAATGAGAGAAGTTGTAATGTAAGATATTTTATTGAAATACATCGAGTCTTAAATACGCTTCACGTATTTTATTCTTGAGATGTTTTGATTATTTTTATAATGAACGAGCGATCATATCTTTTTTTTCCCTGTGCTATTGGGAAGTTTCTGAGTTCTCACATTTATTCAGTTAATGCACGCCTCGCACCAAATTAAAAACACACACTGTCCTTTAAAGTTCACATTTGCCGATGAATGCGGCCCACAACGAATCCAATATCCCAGAATTCATGGAGCGGTCGGCAAACAAAATAGGAAAACGAAGATGGTAAGTTTTTTACCAAATCAGCGTAGTTTGGAAATTTATCACTTATACTGTTGTATATTTACGTATATTACAATGAGTTGTTCAATAAAACAACTACAAGCACTGAAAGTGGAGCTAAATCCAAATTCTTAACGATTTTTTTAAATTCATGTGTAACTTTTTTAACTGAAGCTATTCCTCCAGTGAAAACAGTGAATACACGTCCCAACCTTTTTTTAAGTTTGAAGGCACGTGATATGAACGAGGTCAAACATGGTCACACAAACATACATCATCCCAAGACCAGACCGTTTCATCTCACAGCCTATTCAGACTGAGAAGCGTGTGGCCTTCATGGGCCGCGGCCTCTGTAGGCTGCAGCCCCTGAACTAAGACAGCCGTAATACTTTTTATATCTCAGTGACACAGGAACTGATATCTGAGAGTCAAGTCACCTGACAGGAGAGGGAACTTCCTTTTTTTAATCACGGTATCATTTCCGGGGGCTTGACACGTAGCTCGGGGCCATTTTGCTTAGGTCTTTGTAGACAGAGAGAGGCTCTGAGTGACGATGTGGTGATCCTTGCTTATGCAAATAAATATTCAAGTCTAGTTCTGAATCAGTTTCCTGTGTATAACTCAGATTAAAAGCAAGTAGAAAGCAGTACAATATCACAAAAACTGATGTAATTTGTTGTCCCTATGTGAGTGCCTGCTTGTTTACGTTAACCAGATTATCCTGCGTTTGACTGAGCCTATGGTAGTTTTGAAAAACAGAGAAGACAAAGACTGTCAGTTAAAGGCAGGGGCGCAAAACAAAACAAAAAATGTCAAAACAAGTAACTTTAAGAAAATCGAAACAAACATTGAGAAGCAACAAAATGGTTCAAACAGTTAATCAAAATCGTTTTAAAAGCTCTAATTCAAAGTCCTTTGATGCTAAAAAAACAGAAATGATCTTGACCAAGAGGTGGCGCTGTGTCATTATGATGAGCTCTCAACGAGCTGCATCATCCTCTGCATGCTATCTGCCTGGGTTTGTCTGAGCTACGTTACAGTGTCCTTCCCCATTGGCTGCGATTCAGCAGTTACATCAGAATCTGCCCTTATTTTAGTTTTAAGGCAGGGAAAAAGTCCCACAGAGTGTCAGACACTTCCACACACTCACACAGCTCTGATGCTGAGCTGCAGTTTAATGTGTGACGCAACCTTTTGGCACTGAATTCGATTCAAATCGCAAACCCTTATGACACCGCTGTAGTAGGAAGGTTTTTTTTTTGCAGCCAGCCGGAACTGAAACGAGGCCACAGCGTTCAAACGTCGAACATCATGTTTACAAGACTTGTTTTATAGTCGCTTTATTATTTTTTTTCTTCTTTTTTCTATTTTTTGTGGGGGTCTAAGAATAGAAAAAGCTGATGTGAGCGAACACCCAGCAGTGGCACAGTCACTGATCAAACGACAACAGTGACTGACTGCAACAAAAGATGTCTTCTTAATGATATGCTTGGATGTACAAGTGGAGTTGTCACTTCAGTTCGTCGTGGACCACTGAGTCTACAGAGTCCTGTCAGAGCTGACTGGTGAAGACATTTCGGCATCGCCTTTTTTTCCCCGTTTTCGTCTCGATCAAATTGAATCAAAAAGAACTTTTACCGCCATGAATGAGAGGCTGGGAAAATGATGTCAAGCATCTATGCTTCGAGCGGCGTGACACAATAACGTATAAATAGATCGGTGCGACTTCTGTAGAGGATTGACGCTTGTATCCAACACTGGGAGGAAGAAGTTTGAGGAAGAATGTGCGCAATTAAAAAAAAAAAGGCGCAAGAGGGGGCGAAGGAAAACAGCATCATGTTTCAAACTGAAATGAAGGCTGATTGACAGACGACAGATGGAGGAAGATATTTGATCTTAATTCTATCAAACATTGTAGTTAAATGAATACACTGAGAGAACTTTAGATGTATGAGGACCCACATGCATTCTATGCACTTAATTTCAAGGTTGCTATTCTTTTATTTTGTAGAGTTCGAGGGCAAAGCAAAGATAGTCATTCTTGTATACTCATTAGCCTGATTTCCAGAAGTCCTAACAGAGCTAAATAAAGCTCAGTTTTAATGCTGCTGAGGGTCTCACAGGAGAACGGTTCTCCTCTAGGATCTTAACAGCAGCATGGGAATTATTTTTCTTCATATTCGTAATGTTTTTTTAAATCGTGCCGTACAACTTTGTAGGAGAAAAAAAAAGGTCTTAACGTGCTAGCTGACTTTGGATAATAATAGCTCACTCATTCGCTTTCTAATTGGCAAAACGTGTCATTATTATGCACATGTGCCCACCAGGACACTATACAATCAGCTGCTCTTGTACTTTTCTACTTTTCTATAGAAACACTGTTAGCGCTAGTTGTTATTTAATGATAATTTTTGGACTAATTGGCTTAATTTTGCGGACTCTAAGGTCATGTTTCTCATTTAAACCAGTGGTCCCCCTGATTTCTTGCTTCCAAGCTGACCCCCCCC